TGAACTACGTTATGACTTGATCCTTTTAAAGGTACGTAGGCAGCTTAGATATTTTCTAAGTTCAGTCACAAGATATATTCGTCTTTTAAGTTAGTCAATTTCGGTTGATTTAGCGAGGAAATGAAGTGCAACATTTGAGATCGCAAGATGTGAAAAGAAACAAATCATTCCATTCCATAACCTTGAGTCTTATTACATGAAGAAATGAGCGAAAGAGTCGCAAACATGTCTAAGCAAAAGGATTCAAGCTTCCTAGCTTCTCTTTAGTCGCCCTCAAGTTTGACTACAACATCTTCAACTGTTCAGCCACTTCTTCGTCCAACGGTGGAGCACTGCTTATGGCGAGGATCTCCTCTTGAGTTAATTTCACCTTGGCCTTGGCACTATCGAGTGACTCTTGTTGCTGCTTCAATGTTTGGGATAACGTTTCTGCCTTCGCCTTCAACTTCTCAAGCTCTTCCATGGCTCGCTTTAGCTCAGCCTGAGTGGACTTTGCTTGATTTGATTCAATATCCTCCTTCGCCTTATGTTCACGAAGACGGTCTTTAGCTTCAGCCAACTGTCGAGCAATATGTTCCTTCGTTGCCTTCTCTGAAGATTTCGACCGTACTCCGTCATAAGAGTCGGCGTTGTCAAACAAGACCTTCAACGGGCTCTCGATGGTGGAAAAGTTGAACTTGTCACATTTCTTCATGGCATTGAAAACAAGCGACACATCTTCTTTTATGGAAGACAAGGAGTCGATAGGAGTCGCCATGACCTTGTCCCGGAGGTAGTACCACATGTCTTGAAGATACTTCTTTTGGCGGTCAAGAAGGAACTTCTCCCCTTTGAACTCGGAAATGGCTGGAGCATGAAGCTTTTGTTCAGCAGCAAATTTTTTGGCGCACGTTGGAACATTTGCTACAGAAGTCCCTTCATCGTCTTACGACTCCGCGTCATCGTCAGAACCAAAGACATCTCGTCGCACCTTAAAAACAACAATGGAATACATATATCAATTAGAAAGAGAACTCGAGATAGAAGTAAGTAAGAAGAGAAGGAAACCTTAGCCATGAGGTCCTCTGTCTCGTGTTGATTATCTACCGCTTTCTCAACATGCTGCTGAGAACCAGATTGCTGCTTTGCGCTCTTCCAATGTTGATCTGCATTGCTGCTCTCTTCTAAAGAGGTGGACCTACTCTTTCTCTTGTTGGTCTCAAGAATTCTGGCAAGAAGCGCCTCATGATCTCCACTTGTAGAATCACCCTGGTCAACAACTGGCTCTTTGCCTCTCGAAGATATTACGTTCGGCTTTGGTGTAAGTAAATCCTCTAAATAGCGCTCAAGATAGCCTCCATGAACTTGATGCCACCATGACATATAAGCTGGTGTTGATTTCTTTGCATTTGTTGAGGCACAAGGTAACGAGGCTTTAGAAAAGGATCCACATAGAACGCTCTGTTGCCAGTAGTAAATTCCGTCGTCAAGAGAGCCTTCGCGAAAGTCTTTCTTCAAAGTGCCGGGAACATCTTGATAAAACCCAAATTGACGACTGAATCGATGAGGACTATACGACTCAATGAAAAAGCGACTACCTTGACGCCACGTAAGGTAGTTAGACCAAATCGCCATAAAGTACCTTCATTCGTATCTAGGTCTTCATTGATCATCGACGTATCGAGAAGTCTGGTCTTTGATGATGATATTGCAAGCCCATGAGGCGGAGTCTCCCTTGTGGATACGTCTGCGGGCTTCCTCAGGATCAAAGTGTCTCGCGCCGTTCTCACCGGAATATGTCACCATCAAGGGTTTGTGCGTTTGACCAATTGTGAAGTGAGTTCTAAAGTAAATCGCCAGCCAGCTGTAAACGAAGTGGACGGGAAATGTCGATCGAGATGGCCTTTTGTAGCTTGTAAGCTCGTTCAGCCCCTTGTAGATGCTCGTCAAGACCGGAACTGCAAGGCCGACTATATAACCTTTGGCCATCATGCTCGCCATCTTGAAGGTGCCTGGGCGAATTATGTCGACGTCGTCGTTGGGAAGGACAAACGTGCATATCCAACAGGAGAGGTACGCCGCCAAGTGAATTTCTTCCTGCAGCTTTGGCTCGATCACAACCATCTTCTGGAACAATTGATCTTCGGCGGAGGTCCAATGTCGATGTTCTTCAAAAGTGCCTGGCGGATTATGAGTTGACTTGAGGCGGATGATCCTCTTCTTCTCTCCATTCCTCTTGTCGGCACAATTGGGAGGTTGTCTGTATTTGATAGTCTTCTTCGACCAAAAATGTACCCATCGATCAATTGACACTTGTCCATCGTCGCATTCTTTGCACAGTAGATGATAGGCATGGAAAAGGTATCGGCAGCAGCGAGGAAGGCATAAATTATTATCTTTGTTGGTCCCTACCAGCTCGTTTGCATCCGGCACCACCTCGTCGAAGATGAACCCACTCAATGGAAGTCCATTTTTAATGGGCCAAATGAAACTTAACTTGGTTGGGTTTTGGGTTTAAGCTTTGTTGCTTTAAAAGTGGGCTTTAAGTTCTGAAATTGGCCCAGCCATATAGCCAAATCAAAGAAGTCGCGACTTACTCACTCCAAGACACGTTGTCCGTGAACAAGTCTCGAGGGGACATTTGTAGATACATAAAAAATTGTCTACAATCAAATCGCGCCACGTGGAAATTAATTTATTAAAAATCAAGTTATATTTTCTATTTATATTTTAGGAATTTCCACACATTTAATTCCTAAATTTAAATAGTTAATTAATTGATATTTTAATATTTTAATTCTTGACCAATCAAATAATGCCAAGTGTCAAATCCTTATTCTTGGTAAATAAATCATATCTTCTAGAAGATCTTGGAAGATTTAAGTGGATCTAGAAGATCTTGTGAGATCTAAATAGATCTTAAAGATCTTATGTGAATCATCATGTACCAATCAAATCGCGTCCTACGATTCTTAAATTTGGTAGGGTGCTCTCTCCTACACCTATAAATAGGGGCTCTCCCTAATGTCAAAAACACACATCATAATTCATATTTTGAAGTTCAAGAGCTCTAGAGAATTCTCTCTACAAGTTTCAAGTGTTCTTGAAGATTCAAAGCCGTTCTTGAAGATTCGAAGGAAGATTCAAGCACATTCAAGATCAACACCGACGTTTAATCCGGAAACAAGCTGCGAAGCCTCCGAATTACGTTTATATTCAAATTCAAGTTCAAGATCTCTCAACGAGATTCAAGTGTTCTTGAAGATTCAAAGGCGTTCTTGAAGATTCGAAGCAAGATTCAAGCGCGTTCAACCTCAAGACTAGCGTTCAATTCGGAAACAAGCTGCGAAGCCTCCGAATAACGTTAGTAAATTCAACGGCGTGAAGAAGATTCGAGATCAACTTTGCGACGGAGACCAAGGATCCGTGTTCTTTGCGTTCTTGGGATATTACGGCGTTTGATCCGGGAAAAAGCTCTCAAGCCCTCGGATTTAAGTTAATTAAAGTCAAATCAAGTCAAGGAGAAGATCAAGCCGAAGATTTCGGTCCAAGACTTAAAATTCTTCACGAGAAGAATTAGAGGAATAATAGAGATTGTAACCCGCTATATTTATTTTGATTCGAGAAATTCATTTGAATAATATTTTTCGTGTTTTTAAATTCAATACACGAAATTTGTTGTTACAGTAAGTTTTCAATATTTTTATTTGAATTATATTTTTTAAAATAATTTTATTTAATACATTTTAATCATTATTTATAATATATATAATATATATTTATTATTTTTATTATTTTTTAATTTTATTTTTTGAAAAATTTATTCATACACACATGAGAATAAGAAAACCTTTCATGAACTATGAATAGCTAATCCCATGGAGATTGGTTTTGTCATTATTTTTCAAAAGATATACCAATCATAGAATACGAATGAGTAAGACAATAATCATTCTATTCCCACGTCATTCAGTCGTACCAATCATGACAATAAGAGTTTTATAATTCACATGAAGTCCTAAAAAGTCAATAAAAATTGAAATCGAATACACACTTTATTTCACAATTTTAAATACGTGATTAAAAAGCAAAACCTCTTAATACGTGCTGTCCAAGACATATGCCGAGCTGTTATTTTGTGGTAGCCTATGCGAACTATCCTTGGTAGCCTATTCGTCTATATATGTTCTCATAATTACTTAAGTTTTCCGATCTCAGTTTCGATCAGTAACAATGGGGCAGAAGAAGATGAAGACTAAGAAACAGAAAAAATCACCCCAGGAAAAGATCGCAACCGGACGCGGCGAAGAAGAACGGCCAAAATTCCCAATCGCCGACGATAAAGACTGGCGTCGACGGCAGATTATAAGGACCAACATGTCGAAAACCGGCGGGATCACCAAATCATGGGTGGTCTCATCGCCCTCTTGCAAACTTAATCAGCCGCCGCACAGACAAACCTGCCCTCAGCTCGCTCTAATTGGAATCCCTTTCAAAATCAGAGATACCGGAATGTTTCGGTACAGTAATTGCGGCACGCGCAGTGACTATAGTGTCCCCTTGAGACGTGCTCTGACTTCCGGCAAAACGACAATGGTCGTAATCGGCGTTGCTTCACCTGCTTTTGCATACGTCACCATGTACGGCTATGGCTATTACGGTAGTTATTCTCACTGCATGTGGAAAACAAGCGACTGCAGAGTTATAGAGCCTTTCTCGGCCACCAATCGTCAGTATATGGAGTTCACAAACTTTATTGGATTAAAAGGGAAGTTCTATGCCATTAGCCGGCAGGGCAGCCTGGCAATGCTCGAGGACAGTGATGGTTTAGGGGATTACGAGATTACTCGTCTGGGAATTAATCGAGCCGTCCCTTCTAAGCCCTGCAGACACTTTAGAGAGTATTTGGTAAGGTGCGAAAGAAAAATCTTTTTGGTGCTTTTGCTATCAATGACTTCTGTCAATGTCGTGGACGATGTGGAGGTTTTCCGGTTGGATGAATCGAGATTGTGTTGGAAGAAAGTGGAGAGGCTTCCGGATGATGCCGTGTTTTTTGTGCAGGACAAATTCTGTTTGGGGATCTCGGCAAGTTTGTTGGGATGCAAAAGCGGGAGCAACTGTGTCTACTTCAGGTATGCGAGGGCAGAAACTTGGTTTTGTTTTGACATGAAAACGAGAAGCATTTCGACTACTGCCGGACCTGTGATGGACCGTCCGATGGATTAGTTGGTTTGAAATATTTGGTTTGGGTTCTGTCTACATATGTTTGTTTTGGTTATTCTGTCATGTTCATGGATATGTAGTTGGTGCTCTTTAGTAGCCATTCTTGGTTATGCTAATTTCATAAGCAAGATCATTGGCAGGGAAAAAGTATTTTAATAACTTGGAAGATGAAGAGTTTGTTAGGAAATATTTCAGACTATGATGCAACAGTTTACTTGGATAAATAAGTATAGTTTGGTGATATATTAAAAATGATCTTTCGTCCTCCATATATAAGCATAGTTTGGTGATATAGTATTAAAAAGAAAAATGATACATAGCCAACCTAGTGTACAACTAGGTTGACAAAACAAGTGGAAATATCTACTTGTATTTTTTTTTTTTTTTTTTTTATTTTATGAATGTTTTTTTACTTTGTGTTGTCAGCTTAGTTGTACGGTAGGTTGGCAATGTAGCATTTCTCAATGAACTTATGGATAAGTTTGTCCTCGAAAAGGTCATTCCTTTGCAGTAAAGGATGGAAATTTTCGAAGATAGAGATTTTTTAAGAAGTTCATCCTGCATAAATAAATTTGTAGTAAATTCAATAAATGGTTAATTCCTCAAAACTTCCTAATCCAAATATCATCTTCCTCGTCAGTCCCCCACATAATATTTGTTCCTCTGCACTCCTAATTTTAATTTCTCTTTCCAAACACTCCCCATATATATAGTAACGTTATTATTTTTCATTCATTTTGTTTGAAACATAAAAAACTCTTTCTCTCTTCGTTGCAAATCTCTCTCTCTCTCTCTCTCTCTCTCTCTCTCTCTCTCTCTCTCTTTCTCTCTCTCTCGAATTGCATCGCCAATCGTCTCTCCCTATCTGAGAATTCCATCGCCGATTGTTTTATCTCTCTCTCTCTCTCTCTTCGTCTCTCTCGTTCATCGCTCCTCTCTCTTCTCTCCAAAATCTCCGTTCGTCTCTCCTCTGGCGAGAAGCAATGGCCAGCTCAAAAAAGAAATCTCCATCTGACGGGCACAAACCGTCCTCCTCCTCGACACCCATCAAGGCATTAACAACGGTAATTTCTGATTTTTTTGGTGTTTTTTTTCCTAATTTTAGGGCTTTTTTCTATTGTAGAGCTTTTTTCAACTTAGAGTTTTTTCGTAATTTTTATTTTTGTCTTGAATTCTAAAATTTAGGGCTTTGGAGAGTTATGAATTTCAGTTTATTTTAGGGCTTTTTTTTTTCAATTTAGGGCCTTTTTCATAAGTTTCATTTTTGTCTTGAATTCAAAAATTTTATGGCTTTGGAGAGTTATGAATTTCAGTTTATCCGCTTTGATGTATTTCCAGTACAACGTCCGTGTATTACACGGATGCTTGCTAAAATTTTTTTCTTAAAATTTGTTAATGAGAAAAAGTAGTTTAAAATTTTTAAATACTTTTTATAAAAAATATATATATTATTATATATTTTAGTAGGACACTTGTACTTGTGCGACTTACTTGTGTTGTATTATAATAATTTTTCTAACTTATAACATATCCTCCCTATATATAATTGCAGAATGCGCTGAGCCTACGTGGCTGCTTCTGGTGCTTCGGAATCCTATTTGGCGAAAAATCATGCTTCGTAATTAGGTTTGGACAAATAATATTAATATATTAATAATTAATAATCTAGGTTCGGGTATTCCATAAATATTATTTAGCTAACTTAGGTATTTTAATATCACTTTTACTAATATAACCCTTTAATTAATTGTAATTTTACATAGTGAGACACTAAGTGACTAATATATCCCTAAATTTTGATTTGCTTCCTTCAATAAGCTATTGAATTATAAATGTATTTTAAGAGTATATAACTTTTGTATTTCTTATCGGTTTTACATATATAATATATCAAATTAATCATCTTTTGATGATTTTCGATTTGACATCCATATTGTATATATAAAATAAATAAATTATATTTATCTTTATAATGATAAAAAATAATAATATTTATTAAAATTCATTAGAAAAATAAAATTATTTCTCAATTGTTATATTTATATTTAATGTAGTTATATAGTGTAAGTTAAAGAATTAGTATAATATAACACAAGTAAGTCGCACAAATAAAAAGTATCATAATAAATATATAATATATATATATATATATTCTTATAAAAGGTATTTAAATTTTCAAACTACTTTTTCTCATTAATTTTAAATTTTAAGAAAAAAATTAGCAAGCACCCGTGTAATACACGGGTGTTGTACTAGTAGCTACAATATTACACATAAACATATTAACTGAGAAATAATTTTATTTTTCTAATTAATTTTTATAAATAATTTTTTATTATATATATAGATATAAATTATTTATTTTATATGTATAATATGAATGTCAAATCGAAGTTCATCAAAAGATGATTAATTTGATATATTATATATTTAAACCAAATAAGATATACCAAAGTATCAAATTTTAAAATACATTTACAATTCAATAGTTATAATATGAAATGATATTAAAATCTATTACTATATAAAAGAGCTAAGAAAAATTCAAAAATAGTAAGTGTATTTCCCGCTTTTTTTTCTTTTTTACCAATTTTGGGAACTGTTTTTGAATTTCTTTGTCATTTCCCGCCCATGCAAATATGTGTTCAAATTACAATAAACCACTTCCTTTTTTTTTATTTTATTTTTTTTTTTTATTTTTGTGCCATGCATTTACAATAATATCTTCAAATTCACTTCCGCTTTTTGTGCCAAAAAATCCAATTTTTATTCGGGATTTAAAATTTAGTTAGATTTTTATTTCTATTTTATTAATATGTTTGAAAGAGAATCAATAAACTATATTACTACAAAATTTGGTTAGATTTTTGTTTTCTAATTTGTGCTCTATAAATATCATATTCAATTTGATTTAATATAATATAATATATAAATTAATAAAAAATATAATATATAACTTATATTACCATTTTTGGATTTTGTTTTAATTTTTCCCGCTCATGCAATTTGTTTGAAATAATTCACCCATGCAATTTGCTTGAAATCCGCCCATGCAATTTGTTTAAATTAGATACCGAATATTGTTAACTAAGATGATAAGATTTTGGTAAAAAAATCAGATATTGTTAATTGATACGTGATATGGTAAACAATCGGATTATTTTTTGGTAAAAAATCAGATATTATTAATTGTTAAAAGGATATTGTTATTTGTTAATTGTTAAACTAATTTTCAAGTGATATTGTTATTTGTTAATTGTTACAAAAATTTTCAATTCGAATTATTAATAATGGAAAATTAAATGAAATAAAATTGTTTACACCCAAACACAATATATACAGTTACGACATACATCCAATCATCTGTAAAACGGATTAAGCAAAACTTAAAATGATAATTTGATAAGCCTAATCATTTTGGCTTAGAATGAAATCAAACGATTATCCAACTATATAAAATAATATTTTATTTCTTAAAATTTATTTAAAATTCCAACTATTATTTGTTTTAAGTTTATTGTAGATACCATCTATTTAAAATAGGTTGGATCGGGTTTAACATGATAAGAACGATTTTTTTTTTTTTTAAAGGTGTACTATTTTAGGTATATAATCTGATTTCATTTGATAAGCCCAATCAAATTTGGTTATGACCGAATCAAATAATTTTGAATAAGATTGAATTAATTGATTACTATTAAATTAATTTTATTTGATTTTCACGTCTAAAATTTTCCAAAATACTATTTTTATTTTTTTTAATTTTTTGTGGAAAATGGCCGTTGGATGAAAAAGTTAAATTCAAATTAAAAATATATGGTTAATGATATCTTTAAGTACAACGGGTAAATATGGTCAATGATATTACTAATTATTTTTTATATTCGGATAGTTCAACTTAAAATTGATGAGTTTTTCTTTTT